GACTATACAGAAGAACATGTATCATTATAGTGCCAGCAGAAATATACTTGCATCAATCAGGCTGAATATATTATAATGACCTAGGATTCATACAAGAAGAATGGTTTTTGTACCAAAAATATGTTTCATCTGTCTTTTATTAGGAGTAGTCACACCATCAGTCAATACTAGTAGTTGTAATGTAGACACAACTACTCACTACCTTGACAGCATCTATCAATCAACCGTATTTTCAAGAACTTAGAGATGATCAAGAAAAAGAAAGGATCACAGAATTCTGAAGGAAACATCGTAGAGTGTGGAAGTTGATGAAGAGAATTCTTTCATCTTGTACTCATAATTACTCATCCATACTAATCCACGATGCATGACTAGAAGCAATTGATTTCCTTTCGCTTCCAAACCAGTAACAGTTACAAACACACATTGATCCGATAGAACAATTCCTGCTTATATCCCAACACCATGAATTTCATTTACATAGTGATCTAGGAAGCTATACTTTCCGTTATTGTTATGTGTAAAAATGACAACGTGATCGTCTTGGTGAGCTGCTTTTTTTTATCGTCAACCATATCCTTTTTCAGGCAACACTCTTTTCCGACAACTTCATACCGATACTCGAGCTTGCTATAGAAACTGTTTTTGGAGTCGAAATGCTCATGTTTATTCCAAGAAGACAATGTGATGCGGATTATATCGATCAAGTTGGACTGTGAATATGAACGCAGTGAAACATTTTCAAACAATGCCTTACTCGATAACAGTTTAATAAAGATTGCTATGAATACGTTAAAAAGGAACTAATCCGCATAAATAATCTTCGATTGACCGTTGTTTTCTACGATATGAGTGTCGGCGTTCGGATGTAGTTATGAAGATATGCATCATCTTCACCTTTAAGTAGACAAACCTACACTCGCATCATCATCTATATACCCACACACACACGCCCTATGATATTTTGTAACGCTAAATATAAATAATTGGTTTTGTTTTGATAACATTATTTAATATTCAACATAGTTATATAAAATATATTACGGATACTATGATGAAAACTACTTAATTGAATAATTTATCACATATTTTTGTACCGAAATAAAGTTAATCATATCAGTCAAAATGATTTGATTCATGATGAAAATAATTTCATATTTAAGTTTTTTCAAAAACAAAAATTCAGATCGATCGCTAATTATTACTAAGATCGATTTAAGAAAAAAATTCTCTTGGAGAGAATGCTTATAACTTTTGAAGAAAAAGTGGCAGAGACGTGCGATTTTCATTGTTGGATAGAGCACATTGAGGCACGTAATATTATGTAATAATCAAGCCGTCAGGTAAGATTTACCATAGTAAATCTATGAATACAAATTGGGTGTAGGTGTAGATATGAGTATGGGTGTCTATACAGGTGTTCTCCTGGCACGGGCATGGACATCCTCACCCGCACTCACACATAGAGATCTACACCCAAAGAAAGAACAACACATTTTTTTGACAACATTTATTCTTCTTGACAAGAAGAAAAAACAAAGAGGTGTATGTTATCTATAACTGGTGTTTTGTTTTTTCAGAATAAATCGGACACAGTACTATGGAAAAGCATTTGATTAGATATTTCAAGATATTAATTTAGCTAATTTTTTTCGAGAATAATTTCAACTAATTATTAAATAAGGTAGGAAATATGGCTTCCTAGCAAAGAACAGTCGTATACTTCTTGTACTCTAGAACACTTCGTTACAGTTTTAATTACTTCTGTACACGTTTGATATTTATGCTCTACATATATTCGAGTATGACATTCATCCGAAATCAAATCATAGTATTATATATGAATGCGTAAGCTATTTATTCAAAGATTTTTCTTTTCTTACAAAATCAATATTATAGATACAATAAAAAGAAAAATTAATATATGAAACGTCCCAGTTACAGAGATATCAAAGCCACAATCTGATAGCATTCCAAAAATCACATGTATAGTGGAAATTTTCTAGTTCTGTATTTCGTTCGATCCATTCACGTGTTATCAATTGTTCATTATTGACCTTACGTGATTGTCTAATGATTATATCTGTTAATGTTTTCTTCATTCTATTAAGAAGTTGTGGTAGATCAGTAATAGATGACGAATGAATATCGAGTCGTTCGATATTAGTAAACGAATGACAAAGTGCATCGATATCATTTGAACATAACATATGAAGACCACCCTGAAAGTCATTTTCGATCTTCAAATCCATAATGTGAGGCCATTGTTGAAGAAAAAAATAGTTGAGATGAACACTAGAGATTTGTAGTCGACGTAAACGAGGCAAACTATATAAAAATTCGATGAGTTCGTAAAACAAATCTTTACTCCATTCGTGACCAATCGTACATGTTATAATTTGCGATGTATCAAGACAGGCCATAAGATCTTTGAGTGTCGTAGGAAACGTAGTAGTAACTTGTGACAAGTACAACTCTTTGATATGAGTGTACCGATGCAAGAATGGATATTTCAAATATTGATCATTAATTATTAAACAATGAACATGAGAAAATGATGTTAGCTCTGATGCAGTTGATTCTGATACTAGAGTTCCAATTATTTCATGTGGTGGATAGATGATAAGAGAAGAAGAATTCGAATAGAGCAATGAAGAACCATCAGCGTTCAATCTTTGATCGTATGTAACAAACCATTTTTTCTCTTCAAGCCAAAATTTTGTACGAAATGAATCAAGATTAAGTGGTTGTTGTTCGAAGGCATCATAGATAAATTTAAGTTTAAATTCAAAATGTTTGATATGTTGCAATGATCGAGCCCAGGCAAAACCATCAGCCATATCACTATCCACATTATCAGCAGTAATTGTCAAATAGACGAGTCGTGGAAATGAAGAAAGTAGAGTTGTCATCTCTGTCCAAGTAATATTCCATAATTCGATCCGTAATTGTTGCAAATGCAATAGACAAGGATAAAGTCTATCTAATTTCAAGTCTGGAGTTCGAAATTTACCTTGAAGAGTGTGAAGCATAGGTGCAACGGCAAGGAGACTTAATAAATCAATTGTTAAGCGTTCTAAATGAAAATATTGAACAGAAGATAATATTGCTGAATTTGGAGAACGAATTTTCACATTGCCATCTAAAAATCCAACCATTCTGACGGAGAGACGGCGAAGTGACGGTGAAAGAAAGAGTAGTTCACTCAAAGTAGCAGATGTCGTCGATGTAGATGCTAATATATCAGAATAGCACAAATGAATGAAGAGCGTCATGATGAGTGGTGGAAGTCGAGTTTTGAATAAACACCATGTGTCATATTTTATATATGTCAAAGTCAACGAACGAAGATTTGGAAATGTTCTGTCAATAATGCTGAATCGTGAGAAGAAAAGAGTATTTTTTACAGATGTCATCACATCGTTTTCATCGAAAAGTGTCAAGGATATAATTTTAGAGGTTGAATAAAGCAGTTGACTACAGATAGTATCAAACTGACTTTTGTTCATCGATGTGTCCACACAACTAAAGTTCAGTTGAAAGCGAGGATAAGCCAGAGAAATTGAACGAAGATGTTTGTTGACGAAACATACAGATGAGAAAATATCAAGTGTTGACACATCGTCAAGAATTTGATGTATTAATTGTATAGGCAACGTTGTCAGATAGTCCGACATACTTTGTCTAAGCATATGACTGCTATTTATCTGTTTCACAGAGGTATATATAGGACGACTGAAAACAATAACCGTCCTATTCACGTTGCATTAAAATATTCGACGAGTATATTTGTCATATGTTGCCAAGGAAATGTCATCTTTCTATTTTGACCGTTGCTATAATTTGATATATTTGTCTTCCTAATGTCAAGTTCAGGTCAGTAGGTTAACAATAGCAAACGATATTTTAACTAAGCTATGCTTTTCATTATAGTTAAATACCGAATTAAAAGGAATGTGTTTCTTATCTTGCGGAATTCGCTATTGAGATAAACATTTTTTTAAGATTGAACCAAACAAATTGCACCGTCTAAACCGGCAGTCTTTTCAATGAAAAAATATTTCTTCGCATGCTTTTTTTCATAATCTACACCTGTTACGTGTGAGTTTAACTCAGTTGAATAGACATTGAGGTCGTGACCGATGCATGTACATCTATCATTTGGACAATATTGATTTGTCTTTTTTATTTCGTTGTTACCTTACCATATTCATTTTTTTTCATATTAACGGTCTTCAATCAAGCAACTATGGCATGTTCTAATGTTATGAAACCCGACGGTCACATTATACTGTTGTTCTGTCTCTTCTCTTCGATCATATAGACATTGACGTTTTACATCCTATATGGTATGCTCATATTCATGACGAAGATATCTTCTTTTTTGATTATACGTTTCATTCCTTATATCCGTAGATGATTTCGAGACATATAAGAGAGGCAAAAAGATAACATGGTAGGATGAAGGATGAGATGACGACAACATTTGAAGAGAATAGAAACACAGACATATTAGCTTGAAAAGATGATTGACTATCGTAGAATGAAAATAGGAGCATAGGTTAGCGATCCAGTTGTCAGTTGATATTTAACCAGAAATCAGAAGACATAGAGACACTACGGTAGATATTCTATAAAAATGGCATGCAAGTAAGAAAACACACTACTTAAGTTCAATTGTTTCTATTACAAATCGATTCTAGTCTAAAATTTCTGACAAAATTAATTCAATTCTGTACCTGATGAATATCTTCAAACGTATCAAATGTTTTAATGTTAATTAGTATTCTGCATGAAAGTAAGAATATTTTCTCAACACATTAATGTCAATTTCTTATATTGTGTTCTTCGTATTTCAATAATTTGTTCAACTAATTTTGAGTTCATTCAAGAAATTGTTTTCAACAAAAAAGTGAAATTTTTACTGTTATATTTCTCACCTAAATAGGAAAGTGTAATGTCATCCATTAACATGATAAAATTGTTGTGTCTACTATTATTTTCGTGTTCTAGATTCAGACTACTTTTTTGCCTAAAAAGATGTAAATGCAAATTAATCAAATATTTTTATAATCAAGTTCTTTACGTTGATTCTTGTTATTCTTTTCATACTAAGAACGAGAAATTTAGTTGAATATATTGAAGAAGTGTGAAGTCAAAGTGTTGCAAACTTATCGAAATTCTCTCGGATCTATGTTTTGTTTTGCAAAAGAATAAAATTCTATGTATCATTCAGTAAGAATTTGGTTTCATAAATACAAAAAGAAAGTATTCTGCAAATGATAATTGTTTCAGTGCAACGAATCGACATAAATTACGAAATATCATTTATGCCAAACGAAAAACTCATCTGCCAATGAGTAATAATTGTTTTTATTAGGTGTTATCTTACTAAAACGTTATCATTGGGTTACCATTTCAAAAAGTACTTAATGCACATATTTGTTTATTAGAGCTAACTGATTAAGCTGGTGGACAATTAACTAATAAACTACTAAGTACATGTGATTTTGCTGTTTATTACAATTACAGATAAAGATACTAACTTTACTCTGCATGTTGGTACTATCGATCAGCTATTGGACAATTAAAATCCGCTGTTTTAGTACAGATGTGTGAAATTATTGAAAATACTGATGAATGTTGAGTATCTCTAAAATGTTTTATTCTTATGTTGTGTTACTATTAATTCATATGACTTGTATATTTTATAATATTATGTTATTAAAGATAAAAGTAGTTGACGTATTATGATTGATATTCAGAAAAAGATAGTACATGGTTTAATAAAAGTTAATTGTCATTTTAAAATATATCATTTGTTATTAAGAGAAATTCATGAGATGAAGTTTTAATATGATTAACAAGGAACAATAAAACAAATTGAATGTTATACATCTGTTAACTACCTAATCCATTATCTGAGTCAATTGGATGAGGCAATTATTCTTAAATGATCTTACATAGGAGCAAATTTGTATATGCCATGAAGTAGTTAAATACATCTACAATGAATAAGTATTTTGTGGCTGCTGATGGTTTGATCATACAGAATTGCTTTGGAAACGATGATTATAGAGACAAATTCTTTGTTTTTTTTTCTTACATCAACCGATACAAATCAACGACAAAAAAGGTATTCGAAAATGGCAATATCAAAATGTAATTATTCATCATATATGCAAGGACATTATTCAAATCTTCTATATTATGTACCATTACATGCGATGATGAGTCGAGATATTGATAATTTAACCTCTTCACGACGAGTATCTCATATACGGGACGGTGACCTTTTTCCTTTGATACAAGTGTCAAAGTGTACTCGAAACTGCAATTTGATACTAGTACTTAATGGATTCTGTCTATTATAATGAGAGACAGACTTGGGGGACGAAAGTAATGCAGCAAAGACGTACTTTTAATGCAAAACTTTCAATGTCTGTTCACTCTCTGTCTGAAAAATCTGTACACTTAAACACTTCTAATAAAAATTATATTATAAACGGTGGAGTCCTGTGATTGCTAGAATTTTCAACAACAAAAATAACTCTTTTGATTTTCAGCTGCACAAACTTTTTATAGTCTGTAATAAGAACTACTTTTCCATCAAATGCGAATAAGCTTTTCGCTAAAAATAATCCCGACGTGAAAGGGCTAAAAAATCGGACCCTGTTTAGTTGTAGCGGATAATTTGAGCTCTATTTTGACACAGACTCGAGATTGGTTCCAATAGACTTAGAGGAGAAAGCCTTATCATACGCAACACTACTTTTCTACCCTTGATTTAATGATAACTTTTGAGCAATTCAAACTCTTACTGTGAAATTTCTAGTACTGGAAAGCAATTCTCTAAAAATAAACGTCAATAGGGAAGTAGAAATCTTGTTTGACATGCTCAACATACTTTAAACATGAAAAGATACAGTGAATGGTGTGTAAACTTGTAAATGGGTAGGGATGCTATGGTGAATCGTTCAAGTTAAAATTCTTTCCGAGTACTATGAAAACCAATCAAATTTTCATTAAAACTAAGATTCATTGTTGCTGCATGATGTTGCAACGACTACTACAATTCGAGCCTATTCGATGATCAGATGTTAGATTTTATTATAGATCTCGATGAAACTCTCTGCACGATTTTATATTATCCTGTATCATTTCAATCGTCTACACTATTTCAAAACCTGATATAGCGCTTAATGAAATACCATGCAATTTGATATTTTCCACGCCTCTGTATCGGAATTGGTCTTTGCCCATAGCTTATCAAGACTGATATATGATAGAATGAGTTCATTTCATCACTATATCGAAAAACAATAATTCAGTATTGGTGGCTATCGGCTACTGCTAAATGATCAGGCGAAAAACATTGCTAATGATTCGAAAGTGCACAGTAAAGTACACTGAATTAAATTGACTTCATGCTAAAATCAAATTAAAATCGAATTATAATCTTTAGAAAAAATAAAGTGACATTTTCGAACTTATCATTAGAATCTCAAAGCCATGATCAAATGAGACGACGCACAATGTCTCTTTTGTATTCTTTCAAAATCTATAATTTATATCTTTCAATTTTACAAAAAAAAAATATTTCCGTAAATATATATTTGACGCTGGCTAGATCAGCATAATTGAAATAGTCAAAATGTGCTATATCAAATCAGTCACAATCAATGAATTAAACTTCTTGAGAAGTAAAAGAACGAGAAATACACTAAATATATCTTTCATTCGCCATTCTTCATTTCGATGTCATGGTGATGCCGTAACGTTAATTGTTAATTCCTTGGATACCATGTTTCAGGAAATGTTTGAAGCATACTTTGACAGAAAATGAGTTTCTATTGTTAGCCTAAGAGCTTATACAAAAAACCTAGAGGGCGCCACATAAAATTTGTTTGATATGGGTAAGCTCATTTCACTTTGCTCCATTTTCTCGTTCGATGCATCACACATAAGAGAAACAGAAGAATGTTGTTATAAATTTAACCACTACACGCGCCACGCATGGAGAGAAAAGGTAATAAAATATTTTTCATAGACGTATATTACATAGGTAGAGATTGAGTAAAAAAATAAAAACAAAGGGTAGTTAAAAGCATGGTTATTTCCCTGAGCCGTTGTATTCTTGTAGAAACTTCAAACAATGTATCAACAATCTTTAGTTTTATCCTTTCGACGAAATGTTCTCATAATAAAATTGAAGATCTCATATTGATGTTCGATGTCGTTCTTTAAGTTTTCTTTTATAAATATTCGATATTATTCTCCTAAAATTTGAGCTATTCTTGCTTTCATTAGATTTTATTCCTATCATCGTTCTTTGTTTTTGAAATTTTTTATTATTTTAACATAGTTAGAGAAATTTTAGTCTTCTTCTTTGTCTGTGTCAGACAAGACTTCTAAAAAAAACACGTTTTTACCAAATATTTTTCTGTGCATATTTTCTTGAACGTGCTTAAAGGAATTTGTCTCTTGAGATTCGTTAAAATACAGGATCTTTTAGTTTAATCGCTTGTGTATATATAAACACATATGATGTTAAAATTCGTATTTATAGATCGTTCAGACTTTTTAATCAAAACGACAAATCATTTTTTTAATAATAATAACAAAAGGATAGGATATTCTTAACGATATACGACTACTTTTTACCTTTCTATGGGCAAGATTATGGCACTTTCTATTATCTATTTGTTTAACTTGTTTATGTATTTTTTTCATTTCAGATTTTGTACTATTTATACGATTATAGAAATTTTTCAATATGCGTTTTTTCTTTTGTTTATGATTATTTGTATATTATCAAGAAATTCATCATCAGTTGAGCGCTGAGTCATAAGAGATTGTTGCAGCATATTGAAGATCATATTTTCTTATCTGATAAGCGAACGTAAACATAAATTTGATGATGAAAACACAAAAATAAAAACGTGCGTTTTTATGAGTTTAATTAAGAATTAATATAATTAGTTGATCGGCAATCCAAATGAGTGACTGAATACGAATTAGTCTTTAAATGTTTAGTACTTTCATCGAAATCTTTGACATATGTAGCGATTAAACACTACCGATAATGTCAGTCGTTTGTTTCTCGTTTTATTGTTTAAAGCAAAATAGAATTGTCATTTTCTAACTTTTCTGGTCATGTCAGCAGAGGTGAGAAAGAAACGAATAACTATAGTTAAATATTACTAATAAGTTTCTAGTCTACTTATGTTTTTTGTATTTTTTGAATATACAAAGTTAAAGAGACATAGAAGATATATGTTTTAAAAATAATATCCAAGTTATGATTTAAAATTGACATCCTTATTAATGTGGTATGTTATTAGAGAAAATGTTAAAATAATTTTATCAAAGTGGTTTTTAACTCTTTATCATTATATTTTTATCTTAACCATTTAAAAGAAACCACGTCTAAACCCCTTTTAGTAGTAGACTACAAAAGGAATGACTCACAGTGCGTGTATGACTAATATTTTTTCTCATTTTAACCAAAAAACGAATAGAAAAAGAAGTTTGATAAATATACATTCTAATAACATACTTTATTAATAATGATATCAATTTAGTATAGTCAATTTTAGATAATAGTTCACATGTTACAAATATATATTTTCTACGTATGTCGGAGAATACAAAAAATCTCAAGACGGCCTGAAATCTATAAAACAATCTTTACATAGATTATTTTCATAGAACGTGCAGTAGTTAGATCAGCTTCTTAAAAGCAGAATAATTTATATCAAATATCTTAATACGTTACTAAATATTTGACTTTCGAATGGAGTGCATTCCTAGAGAGAATAATCATATTTCATAGATCTGTGTTACCTGAAATATAATTTAGATAAATTCTTACTAAATTCAAAAACCGAACGCGTTAAAATTCGGACGTATTTTTACAATTTTTTTGTCGGGCGGAATTGTATTCTGTTCGGGTAGAAAGCGATCAAACATTCGAAAATATAACTCAAAGCACACAATTGACACTCTAGAAAATACATTTTTTATAATTAACTCCCTCGTTTTACTTTGTTATATATTAAAACGTTTTTTCTTTCATATCGACTATTCTCTAAAATAAATTGGACACAAGCTATAAATTAATTATTCTAATTACCACTACCGAATGTAACCACTTAAGCATTTTTGAGATCTGAATTGTTGACATCTTTTTGTCAGTCCTGTGAAACTGCATACTTCATTCAAGATTATACTTGCTTAAGATTATCGAAACTTATGAAATGTTAGATAAATTAAAGATGATCTGCAAATATGAATTTTTCTATTTTCTCATATTGATCAAATCGTCATTTTTTTTTTCTATTGGTAATACTGATAACATTTCCGCCTCTCACATTTTCTTATACTAAAATAGCGAAAATAATGTCGATAATTCTTTATAGTTTTTATCGTTAGTGAACAAAAGCATGGAGTGTTTGTCTGAAAAAAAACAACATAAATTTCTAATTGACATTTTAGAATTCGTTTGCAATTTTCATTCAACACACATTGAATATGTACTATCTCTAAATGTGATTGTAAACGGGAATCATAATCAAATCTAATTATTGCTTTTTTTTTATTTAACTAGATAATTAATCCGACAAATCGAATTAGTCCAAGAGTTTGTTGGTGTATTCTACCAGCAAATAACGTTGCAATTTGATCTTTCATAAAATAAATTTTCATCGAAATGTTATCATCAATGTTGATTTTTCATATATTATCTAGTATAATATTTCGTACGGTTATAATTGAAGCACGTGCAGTATTAACAAGTCAAACTCATCGAACGGATGTAAAACATTTTGAATCCAAACTCGATACGACTACAGGTTATTGGTCACCTAGTACTAGTTCAATTGATTGGTGTGAACGAAATTATGTTGTAACACAATATATAGCTGAATTTTGGAATTGTATTTCAAGTTTGATCATGTCTTTATTAGGTGGAATATTATTCATTCAAGGTTTATATTATAAAATTGAAAATCGATTTCTATTACTTAGTTTATCATTGGGTATTGTTGGATTTGGTTCTGCTTTTTTTCATGGCACATTAACACATTTAGGTCAAATGGCCGATGAACTTCCTATGGTCTATTGCATGATTATCTGGTGGTTTATTCTCTTTAGAATGAATAAATTTAATAAATTAAAAGATAAAATCTATGCATTTGACTTAGCAATTGTATTTGGAATATTTTATGCAGTTTTATGGACCTATTTGCATAGTTTACAAACATTTGTCATTATATTTCAAGTACATTATGCATTAATGATGTTAGGAGGAATTATTAAATTGATCTTTTTATATCAACAAACACAACATCATACAAATTCTATCATGTATTTAATCATGACATATGTTGTTCTAGTAATTCCAGCTTTGACATGTTGGATTATTGATCAACAATTATGTGAACGAATGAATAGTGTAGATGGATTTAATCCACAATTACATGCTTGGTGGCATCTATTTTGTGCTATTGATGGTCATGTTGGAATTGTATGTGGTGAAGCGATGCGTCTTTTATCGATAAAATATCAACAGCATCAAGCAAAATATACTAAATCTTCAATGGAACCATTTCAACCGAAAGATCATTTGCATATCGTCTTTTATTTAGGATTACCTTTCATAGATTATTCCAATGACAAACAAATGAAAAAAATAAAAAAGCAGTAAATTATGAGCAGAAATGGATATGTATTATCATCCAAAGAATTAGAATAATGGACTCGGCTATATTCTGAACAGTTTAAAAAATGAAAAAAAGCTTGGATTTAAAACATTTGAAAGCTAGACTTTTGAAGTATTGTCTCGTAGGAAAATAAATTCGAAGATCTTTTTCCAATTTAGCTCTTTATATAAATCTTTGACAAAATTCTAAATAAAGAAAAGTTAAACTCATTATTTAAAATCAAAAACAATTATAGTGGTACTCTTCTTTTCTTCTCTCTTCATACACCAGCTTTGCATAGAGGAAAGGAGTGGTCATGTGTGAGAAAACAGGGAAACGACTTGTAGTCGAACAGGAGATGATAAACAATATAGAATAGATAACATACGAGAAGACAAATGAGATGTGATGGTCAACAATCGTCACATTCCCACCATCATCCAGATGGAAACTTCCTCGACAGAATAGATGTTTCACTTGGAACTCTGGACAATAGAAAACAAACATTATTACACTTTTACGTAACAGTTTTCGCGTTTTTATAAGATTCAAACATAGTTCATTGTTTGCATTCTTTAATCATTTTTTGTTTCGTGCTTTTTCAAAATGATTTATGATGATGACTTGAAATAAGATTGAATTCGCGATGATCGGCAGTTACTTTTATGTATGAACGGGCATAGATGGATAGGCACGCAAGGATAACATTTCCCTGTCATTCTTCTCACGGATGAATTGACTGTTCAATCAGTAGATCGCTTTTCCAACCTGTCTCTATTGAGATCGACTTGATGTTATTTCTGTTTTTTCTCGATGTAAATCTATTGGAGATTGCCCATACTGTTGAGAAGGTTTCATACCTCAGTGCCTCTTCATTTGATACGACACTGATCAAAAGCTGAGAATTCTGTAAAAAAACAAGTAACGCTCGTCGCTACGACTCGTTTCACCCTCGACTGAATTCATTCTATTCATTTTGACAAATATTATCAGATAAATCGTCAGTTTGTGTGATCCTATAGCCAACACCATACGAACAAGTCTTTCGACTTTTGCAATTTGGAAAAAGCAACACTGGTAATGTCGAGTTTGGAATATGTAGAATTCGCGCGATATTCTCATCATAGATTACATTTCTTTAGCTTTTATGAGAAATTGGTACGATTTTGAATTAGTCGTCTTCACCACAACAATTGCCTCAGCTCTTTCGAAAAATACTCTATATTTCATTCAAAGCTTTACGTAAGGAAAGACATGTCTACCTCGTAAATGAATGGCGAATCGCTCATCAGCGTCTCTCGAGGGCACCAGTTGTAACTTACCGATCCCAGATTCTATCTACTTGATCGAGCTCTTCTGAAAACTATTGTCCAATCTCTAGAAAGCTTTGCGAAAGAAAGGCTCATATCAATCTTAGAAACAAACGGCGAGTCATTCGGGACTTGCCAGCTCCATATCCTATCTTCTTTCCCAACTAATCGTTAAGTTGTGTTATGATTTAATTAAATTGGTTTCCTCGTAACGAATGAATCCATCTATCTGATCGAAAATGGACTTCTTTTTTATTTTCCAAACGATCACTGCATATGAACCATCGATCTGTATAAAACTTATGAGGACGAAAGATGCTTTTCGAACAAGATTGCCTATCATACTTTTTTCACTATAAAATCATCACGTTTTCGATTAACCCGCGATCTCTTTTACGAAGTGGATTCTCAAGGGCATTTACATATTTTATTCTGAAAATTGAGGAAAATTACATCTAGAAAAAAACTTAATCGATAATTCTCTATTAACAAACATCTTTCGTCCTAATGAATTTTATACAGATCGATGGCCCAAGTATTGCTCTTTCAAATGGGGTAAATTGCAGCTCTCTATCTTGTTCCTATTAAAAGTTATTTGAAAAATGGCAAACTGTCTTTTATTTTGGATCGGATAATACATGAGAGTAGGTGAATCATCAATTGTATAAATAAAAAAACATTAGTGAAGCAACGTATGTATAATATCGTAGTTAGTGTTCAGAATACCTTTGCATACGAATAAATAACACTCAAAAACAACATAG